TCTTAAACTTATTATAGCAAGGTTGCTGGCTTTTATCCAAAAGGCATTTTATTATTATAGTTATTATAGTATTATTATTATAGTGAAGTTTATTGAAAGGACAGATTTGGAGCAAAGATCTTACGACTAAGTGACAGAACAAATTTGGTACCTAGATGTTACTGCTTCGTTGCTTTTTCTAATTATAATTTTATATTAAATGCAATTAAACAATAAATAAAACCACTATTAATTTTTGTCATCAATTTATTATTACTGTCTTCAGTAGGTAGTATCAGTAGGTATATAAAAAAAGTAGGTATATAATTAAAAGTATTTATAAATCTTGAGATTTTAAATTTAAAAGCACCGTTAAAAAAAGTTTTAAAACATGTAAAACTATTCATATTTTTGACTGCAAGGAGAATTGATAGCTTTAACTCTTTCATCTGCGTACTGCTTAAGTTTTGGAATGTGTGAACATTCGTTATAGAAAATGTCTGTCAAGCAATGAGTTCTCGGCAAATACCTCCTAAAAACAAATAAACATTATTTGGTAAATAAATAATTAATTAAAATTTCTTTAATATATTTCAAACGTTAAATTTTATGAAAATTATCACGTATAGAAATTAAGAAAAATAAATAAACAAAAACAATATGCTCACTTGCTCGGCAACTATGTATTGAGGGATAAAAAGTAAAATTTCAACTTTATCTATTTTTGTTTATGTAACTTTACGTTTCTACTTAGTTTAAATTGTAAAAGGTAGAAATAAACAAGTTACAGCTACTAAACATCCATCAAATACTAGTTGTATTTGCAATACATATTCTGATGTTTAAGATATTTACAGAAAAGAGCAAACGTAAAAATAAAGTTAAATTTATATCATCCGATAGAACAACATGACTTCGATTACTGTTTTTTTTTCTTTTACACACAATAATCATGATGTCCAGTAGGTCAGTAAATGAACGTGATATACATACGTTGATACCCTGTAATTCTCGGTGTCACCACCGAATTGCATGAATATTATGATTTAGATTCATCTACTCTCTATCGAGCCCTAGGTGACTTGGTATTCTGGAGTATCTTCCAAAAATTTTTGTACACATCTGAATATTGAGAGTAGTAAAGCTTTCTGCATGATCTTGTAGAGATGTTTATTAAGACATAGCTTTTTTATGTTGTTTAAGAGGTTCTACGGAATGGCTATTATTTCTTTTGCACTTTCTTTATTCCAAGGTATTTATACACATCATTTTCACATATGTCCTCGCTGTTCTGGCAATTTTGGATATCGAATCCGTCGGGCTGAACCTTTCCTTTGATTATATTTAAGACCGGCACTTCAAGTGCCGAAGTGCATACTAATACCATTAGAAAAATTTTCTACTATTTTTAGCATCTGATCCAGGTGACTTCGAGTGGTAGCTAATAGTTTTAAACCATCCATATACAATAGATAACTAAGCTTTGCCACAACAGTAGTAATATTTTTGAGGCTAAAACCTGTATCAGTTGAGTTAAATAGTTGGGATAGACGGGTCATTGCTAGACAAAGCCACAGTGTGCTCATCAAATCTCCTTAAAATTTACCCCGGCTGATTGCCATATTTTCAATTTTGATTTAAAAGCAAAAGCGGTATTTGGAGGCGAATTTTTGTCTTCCAATCTGACATTATATGTTTTAAAAAGGTCACTATTTTATCATCGACTTTATATATTGCTAAAATATCTATGCGGCACTGACTCAAATGCTGTCTTGTAGTCGATAAAAGCAGTAAAGAGATTCCTTTTTTTGCTATATGCTTGGTTAGAAATGACAGAGTCCATGATAAGTTGTTCTTTACAGCTTATGGAATTCTCAGTGCATTATCTGTGTTGAGGCTCTATACTATTGTCTATAGCACAGTGTTAGTAGATACGCCGGACTACATAGGATGTAAACAATTAATACAGAATTGGAAGACAAGTAATTGGGCGATACTTGGTTGTATTTTGGGTGTTATTTTGATCTTTTGGTATTAAATAAGTTGTTCCTTGATTGGAAAATATTCGATTTTTTGCTGATTAGAAATACTGTGAATAATTAATGCTGAGAAGCACTTATAAATACTCCAGAACTTCTTAAGCCAGAAGTTCTATTTCTGATCCAGGAGATTTCCAGTTATCAAGCTCTTTGATAATATTTGAAACTTCCTCAGCAGTGCAGGGTTCGTAGGGAGCAGTGACGTAGCGTTGGCAGTTATTCGCCATATTTTCGATCCATTCAGCATTGGTCTTAAGAGAAGTTGGTGTGTAAAGTTGATTTTCCCCAAAACTTATGGATTTTTTCTTGGTTTGAGTACGATTTATTGGCACATTTTGCAGTAGAATTGAGTTAAGAATAGAACGTCTTCTTGGCATTTTCAAAAAAACGTATTGTCAAATTTTTGCTTGTTAATTTTCATTTAGTTAAGCTAAGTAGGCATTATAAAATGGAGACTTTATTAATCGTGTTAGTCGTAGACTACATATTATGCTGCTTTTGTATGTACCCATAATAGGTCTAAGTGGTCCCAATTAAGATCCTATGAGTGAACTTTTATCGCAGTAAAACAACTTCTGTAGAATAGTAGCTATTTAAATGTTCGATGTCACCTCGATACAAGGGTATGTCAAGTCCAACAAAAAACCCATCTTATTTTGGTGTAGAGCTGATTAAAATAGATCTGTCGAAGTCTCAATGTCTTGCATAATAGTTAATGTTAGATAAATAAAATATTATACAATAGATAATACAACATAATAGGCTGCAATATGACCGGTAAATAACAAAAAACTTCCAGATCAGAATATGGCTGCATTTAGTTGCCATTGGTAGTTATCGTACCTAATATTTTATTACCTTCCACACTGGCAAATATTAGTCGTCGTTTAATAAGATTTGTACAAAAATATTAGGTATAAATTAAAATTGTTTTTAAGTTACACAATGGTAATGGAAATATTGTAATAAATCTTATTTTTCTTTTTTTTTCTTCAAGTGCCCTATCCGTTAGCTTGCTTAATGTTGCTTTAAACCACTTACTTAGGTTTGTGAGCCAGATTAAGTAAAAGATTTTCTATTTGCTTATCAGCATTTTAAGTTAACACCTTATTCTTCTGAGTACTTCTTCGGTGGTAACTCTTGCAGTTAATGGAATTTTAAGATTTTCCAGTTAATGGAATTTTAAGTATATTCACGTCTTGTTTTGTCCATGGTTTCCAAACTAGTGTACCCCTAGACTTCGTATAATCATTACCATCATTAGCCGTTTTGCGTTAACAATTAAGGCATAGACCACCCGTAAATAATTCCATTTCATCCAATCTTGAGCACCCGAATCCAGTTATGCGGACGTGCTTGATATCGGCTGACCACCTTCTTGGAGGATTACGATAAACATTAGAGGAGGATTACGATACGACTTCCTCGATTACGATAAGCATCTTTTCTAGGTCTCCATTTTAAATTGTTTCTGATCCATCTTTCATCTCTGATTCTAGCAACATACCTTGCCTAGTTCCCTTTCAGCGTTGAAATTCTTTTTTTAATTATTTGATTTAAAACTCAGTCTCTGAGAGATATATTAAACATTGATCTATTCATTGTTTTCTGTGCCACTTGTATTTTATTAATTACTTTTCTGGCAAGGGTCAATGTTTCTGCTCCATACGTTAGAACTGGAAGTACACATTGATCAAATGCTTTTTTTTTAAGTTCATGGGAATATCTGATTTAAATACTTTCCTCATTATCCCGTAAGCTGTTAATGTTAGTCCTATTGTCATGTTTAACTCTATTGCTTGATTTTTGTCTTCCTGAATGTCTGAACATCGTAAATATAACAAAAAATTGAGCGTCATTTGAGTTGTAAGCATAGATAATTGGTACACAGTAAATTCTACTCTAAACATAGCTAATGAATTTTAAGAAAATAAATCAAGTAGTTAAAAAAATAGATAAAAGACACTAAAAAATTTGTGCCAAACGTTTCGACTAAAATGATATAAATGCGACTATTACCAACAAACACCTCTAATTGAAACCTACAAAAAAACTGGATTTATTCTTCATTTTTAAATAAAATGTCATATACATACAACATATTGACATCTTATTTTAATATTGGACTTATCATTTTATCTTTGTAAGTAGGTACTTACTCGCAATAAATTTCAACAGATGGAGGAATTTCTGTAGAACTGTTTTGCTTTTTGGATTCTGTTAAACAGTTTAAATAATTTCGTCTAATTTCCGGTTTTTCAAACATTTTTCTGCATACTGGAACATAAACTGAAAGAAAAATTTATATATTATATATATATTTATATATATATATATATATTATATATATATATATATATATATATATATAAGTTATGACTTTTGAGGATGCAGTCAGTTTATTTGGCCCACAAGACAAAGAAAACTCTTTGACTTACTGTCAAGCTTTCGAATTTTATTTAATTCTTTTTCAAGACATCTAGAAAGAAATATAAATTAACTAGTTAAAATTATTAATTGTCTTACTTACTAGTCGTGAGATTACAGTTGTTAATATTGTACTCTACAAAACAAACCATTATAAATATATTAAAATTTTTTTTATTAAAAATAACTATATTGTCACTATATGTCATTGTCATGGTTTGATTAATGGACATATATGAATGAAAATACAGTTATTTTATGTGGAAAGCAAAACCAGTAACAATAGTTTTTATTATAATTCATTTAATTGTCTATAAAAAATATTAATTAATTCTGTCAGCAGTTTGGCTTAAGACATATGAATTTTTAATGTTAGGATCTCAATAGAAAATGAGATTTTGACGGTATTTATTGATATGTAAAATGTAACAATAAATGTTACTTAATTTGTCAATATCTGATCTTCTATTTAAACATTTTTTATTTTTTGTATATGTGTCATTTCTAAAAATAACCGTTTATGTTCATGTTTCTGCCTCTCTAGAATTGAAGCCTGTGAAAAATTAAATGTGTGATTTAGATTGATGGAGTGTTCAGCTAATGCACAAGCTTGTGATTTCTTAGTTTTTACATCACTTTTATGAGAAATAATTCAATCTAAATCACACATTTAATTTTTCAAAGGCTTCAATTCTAGAGAGGCAGAAACATGAACAAAAACGGTTATTTTTAGAAATGACACATATACAAAAAAATAAAAAATGTGTAAATAGAAGATCAGATATTGACAAATTAAGTAACATTTATTGTTACATATTAACATATCAATAAATACCGTCAAAATCTCATTTTCTATTGACATCCTAACATTAAAAATTCATATGTGTTTAAGCCAAACTGCTGACTGGATTAATTAATATTTTTTATAGACAATTAAATAAATTATAATAAAAACTATTGTTACTGGTTTTGCTTTCCACATAAAATAACTGTATTTTCATTCTTATATGTCCATTAATCAAACCATGACAATGACATATATAGTGACAATATAGTTATTTTTAATAAAAAAAATTTTAATATATTTAGGTATAATGGTTTGTTTTGTAGAGTACAATATTAACAACTGTAATCTCACGACTAGTAAGTAAGACAATTAACAATTTTAACTAGTTAATTTATATTTCTTTTTATGGATGTCTTGAAAAAGAATTAAATAAAATTCGAAAGCTTGACAGTAAGTCAAAGAGTTTTCTTTGTCTTGTGGGCCAAATAAACTAACTGCATCCTCAAAAATCATAACTTATATTTAAATCAACAGTCAAGAATACCACCATCTTATATATATATATATATATATATATATATATATATATATATATATATATAATTCTTTGGAGGATAACTTTCGGGAAAGCGTCAAAACAAGGATCAGCTAGAGATGGTATAAGCCAGTTTGGTGTAGAACTTTATTCTATATGTGAAATTTTCGGTGATATGTTGTCACCTTCATCAGCACCTAAATGGAAAACCTATTTTAGTACAAGTGGTGGAAGTTAACATATAAAACCTACATTGAAAATGTTCAGTTGGTCCTAGAGTTGAAGAACACTGTCACAAACATGTTAAAAATATTAAAAATTACATTTAAAATTTTGAATAAAAACATTACAACACAACAGGGTATTATTTAAAATACAAACACAACAAAAATCTAAAAATTATAACCTACACAACAACTGCAACTTCATGTTAAGGTAGAAAAGAAGAATTATTCTTCTTTTTTGATGACATATTTCTGACTTCTGTCAATATCCGGGTGTCATATGCAACGAGGTTATAATTTTCACGTTAGAACCTCATGGATATGGAAAGAAAGAGCCCCAGGAAACACAATCAGCAGGGAAATGGAGTCTTTTTCCAGTACAGGTAGGCAATCTATGTATGTTATGATAAGTTCCCTACATTCTCCAGTTTGTTACATCTTGTCAAGTCTTGTTGAAGTAGAAATGAATAAATACAACTTAAGTTTTCAACATCTTTCTTACAGTTCATAGAAGAACTGCAGTTGTGGATGTAGCACATTTCTATGAAGTTTCTCTTAAATTGGTTATCAACCCTCTTTAGTACTTGCACATTTTCATAGTTAGCAATGTGTCCAGTATTCTTAATATGTTGGCTAAAGGCTGTGCAGGTGGGTTTCCTCACTACATCACTCTTGTGCAAAGCTAGTCTTTTTGAAAGTTTCTGGCTGGTTTGACCGACATACACTTCTGAACAGGAACCACATGGAATAGAATACACTACATTGAAGTTATCCAGTTTTTTAACTCTTTCTGTCAGGTGAGTAAAGTATGTTCCTAATCTTTTGTACACTGAATTTGCTATCACTATGTTGAACTGTCTGAAAAGGTTTGTGATCTGTGGAGATAAACCTCTGATGTAAGGTAATCTCCCATAGAAAACTTCTACTGTTTCTCCTTCTAATGTTTGTCTTTGGTGTGTTCTCACTGTTGGCATATCTTGGAATAGCAATTTATTAAGAAGCATCTTAGGGTAGTGGTTTTTTCTAAGAATCTCATACAATAATTTGATGTTCTTATTGTAGTTAGAAGGGTGACAAATTCTTTTTATTCTGTTTTTCAGACCTTTGATGATGTTAATCTTCTGTTCGTCTGGATGATATGAGTGAAAAGGCACATATCTACCTGAGAATGTTTTCTTTCTGTACCAATCCAACCTTACTGTGTTGTCCTCATGTCTAGTTACATGGGTGTCGAGGAATGGAACACTATTATTCTCTTCTGTTTCAACGGTGAATTGTAGGTGAGTGTTATATGAGTTGAAAATGTCAAGAGTGTAGTTGATTTTGTCTGCAGGGACTGCACATATGAGGTCGTCTACATATTGGTAAATGAAGGGGAACTGGAAGTCAACTTTTTGAGTACAGTAGTGAAGTAGGGAGTTCATTACAATTTCTGCTAAAGTTGGGGATATAGCTCCACCCATGGGTGCTCCTTTTATTTGGACATAGAATTCATTTTGAAAAGTGAAATATGTATTGTTGTATAAAAAGGTAATCAGTTTCAGGAACAAAACTTTGGGAATTGTACAGTTCTGTTCAATAAAATGGTAATTAGTTGTCAGAATAGAAACTACCAGTTCAAGAGGGATGTTGGTAAACAAGGAAGTAACATCAAAACTCACCAAGACATATCCTAAAGGTAGTAAAAAACCCATTAATCTTATTTGCAAATTCAAAAGAATCTTTAATTTTGTAGGTATTATGAGAAGAAAAAGAAGTGTCAATAATACCTGCCAGATATTTAGCCAAGGATTGAGTAGGGGCATTCTTACAGGCAATTATAGGACGTAGAGGGCACCCTTTTTTGTGAATTTTTGGAAGTCCATAGTATGTTGGGGTGGTACCGGTATAGTTGGTTAATTCTTTTTTTGTTTTGGTGGTAATATATCCTTCTTCATGTAGTTGTTTTATTAGTATGTTGGTGTTTCTTTCTACTGATGGCGTCAGATCTTTGGGGATTTTTTTGTAGGAGTGTGGGTCATTGAGAAGTTCAAAAGATTTGGTGATGTAATCGTTTCTGTCCATTATGACTGTAGTGTGGCCTTTGTCTGCTCTTGTTACTATAATATCAGGGTTTTCTTTCAGAAATTTTCTCGTTTTTGTTTCAATGGCCATGGATGGACTGATGTAATAACGGTTGGTTTTGATGTGGTTGGTAATGATATTCGTGATTTTTGAACGTTGCAAATTCTGTGAATCTGTAGGGAGTTTCTTAATACAGTACTCAATGTCTGCTAGGTATGTGTACATGTCAATATCTTTCACTGAGACTGGTAGTGAAAATTTTGGACCTAGTGATAAAAAAGATTTTATGTCTTGAGGCAAAGTCACTTTGGATTGATTTACCAACCATGCATTTTCATTTGTAGTTGTAAGTGAAGCTAAAGGATCTTTAAGTTGGTTGAGTTTTAAGATGTTGCTTCTTTTTATACAGTTGAATATTCTTTTATATCTTTTGTCCTGTAGTCTCAGGAAATCAGACATCATGTTGTAAGGGAGTTTGCTATTAAGATACTCTATTGATTTATCTATGTTTGTCTGTAAATTTCTGATTTTTGTGTTAGTTTCATTAATAGTGATATTTAGAATCCTCTTTGTTACAAGATTTCTTAAGTATGATATTTTTCTTGTATTTTTATTTTCTGTATTTTCAGGTATTGAGAGAATCCTTTCTGTACCCTGTTGTAAAAACCTAGGTATTATGTTGTTTCTCTGCATTCGTACAGGAAGATGAGCCTGTACGAATGCAGGAGAAACAACATAATACCTAGGTTTTTACAACAGGGTACAGAAAGGATTCTCTCAATACCTGAAAATACAGAAAATAAAAATACAAGAAAAATATCATACTTAAGAAATCTTGTAACAAAGAGGATTCTAAATATCACTATTAATGAAACTAACACAAAAATCAGAAATTTACAGACAAACATAGATAAATCAATAGAGTATCTTAATAGCAAACTCCCTTACAACATGATGTCTGATTTCCTGAGACTACAGGACAAAAGATATAAAAGAATATTCAACTGTATAAAAAGAAGCAACATTTCAAAACTCAACCAACTTAAAGATCCTTTAGCTTCACTTACAACTACAAATGAAAATGCATGGTTGGTAAATCAATCCAAAGTGACTTTGCCTCAAGACATAAAATCTTTTTTATCACTAGGTCCAAAATTTTCACTACCAGTCTCAGTGAAAGATATTGACATGTACACATACCTAGCAGACATTGAGTACTGTATTAAGAAACTCCTACAGATTCACAGAATTTGCAACGTTCAAAAATCACGAATATCATTACCAACCACATCAAAACCAACCGTTATTACATCAGTCCATCCATGGCCATTGAAACAAAAACGAGAAAATTTCTGAAAGAAAACCCTGATATTATAGTAACAAGAGCAGACAAAGGCAACACTACAGTCATAATGGACAGAAACGATTACATCACCAAATCTTTTGAACTTCTCAATGACCCACACTCCTACAAAAAAATCCCAAAGATCTGACGCCATCAGTAGAAAGAAACACCAACTCACTAATAAAACAACTACATGAAGAAGGATATATTACCACCAAAACAAAAAAAAGAATTAACCAACTATACCAGTACCACCCAACATACTATGGACTTCCAAAAATTCACAAAGAAGGGTGCCCTCTACGTCCTATAATTGCCTGTAAGAATGCCCCTACTCAATCCTTGGCTAAATATCTGGCAGGTATTATTGACACTTCTTTTTCTTCTCATAATACCTACAAAATTAAAGATTCTTTTGAATTTGCAAATAAGATTAATGGGTTTTTACTACCTTTAGGATATGTCTTGGTGAGTTTTGATGTTACTTCCTTGTTTACCAACATCCCTCTTGAACTGGTAGTTTCTATTCTGACAACTAATTACCATCTTATTGAACAGAACTGTACAATTCCCAAAGTTTTGTTCCTGAAACTGATTACCTTTTTATACAACAATACATATTTCACTTTTCAAAATGAATTCTATGTCCAAATAAAAGGAGCACCCATGGGTGGAGCTATATCCCCAACTTTAGCAGAAATTGTAATGAACTCCCTACTTCACTACTGTACTCAAAAAGTTGACTTCCAGTTCCCCTTCATTTACCAATATGTAGACGACCTCATATGTGCAGTCCCTGCAGACAAAATCAACTACACTCTTGACATTTTCAACTCATATAACACTCACCTACAATTCACCGTTGAAACAGAAGAGAATAATAGTGTTCCATTCCTCGACACCCATGTAACTAGACATGAGGACAACACAGTAAGGTTGGATTGGTACAGAAAGAAAACATTCTCAGGTAGATATGTGCCTTTTCACTCATATCATCCAGACGAACAGAAGATTAACATCATCAAAGGTCTGAAAAACAGAATAAAAAGAATTGGTCACCCTTCTAACTACAATAAGAACATCAAATTATTGTATGAGATTCTTAGAAAAAACCACTACCCTAAGATGCTTCTTAATAAATTGCTATTCCAAGATATGCCAACAGTGAGAACACACCAAAGACAAACATTAGAAGGAGAAACAGTAGAAGTTTTCTATGGGAGATTACCTTACATCAGAGGTTTATCTCCACAGATCACAAACCTTTTCAGACAGTTCAACATAGTGATAGCAAATTCAGTGTACAAAAGATTAGGAACATACTTTACTCACCTGACAGAAAGAGTTAAAAAACTGGATAACTTCAATGTAGTGTATTCTATTCCATGTGGTTCCTGTTCAGAAGTGTATGTCGGTCAAACCAGCCAGAAACTTTCAAAAAGACTAGCTTTGCACAAGAGTGATGTAGTGAGGAAACCCACCTGCACAGCCTTTAGCCAACATATTAAGAATACTGGACACATTGCTAACTATGAAAATGTGCAAGTACTAAAGAGGGTTGATAACCAATTTAAGAGAAACTTCATAGAAATGTGCTACATCCACAACTGCAGTTCTTCTATGAACTGTAAGAAAGATGTTGAAAACTTAAGTTGTATTTATTCATTTCTACTTCAACAAGACTTGACAAGATGTAACAAACTGGAGAATGTAGGGAACTTATCATAACATACATAGATTGCCTACCTGTACTTGAGAAAAGACTCCATTTCCCTGCTGATTGTGTTTCCTGGGGCTCTTTCTTTCCATATCCATGAGGTTCTAACGTGAAAATTATAAACTCGTTGCATATGACACCCGGATATTGACAGAAGTCAGAAATATGTCATCAAAAAAGAAGAATAATTCTTCTTTTCTACCTTTAACATGAAGTTGCAGTTGTTGTGTAGGTTATAATTTTTAGATTTTTGTTGTGTTTGTATTTTAAATAATACCCTGTTGTGTTGTAATGTTTTTATTCAAAATTTTAAATGTAATTTTTAATATTTTTAACATGTTTGTGACAGTGTTCTTCAACTCTAGGACCAACTGAACATTTTCAATGTAGGTTTTATATGTTAACTTCCACCACTTGTACTAAAATAGGTTTTCCATTTAGGTGCTGATGAAGGTGACAACATATCACCGAAAATTTCACATATAGAATAAAGTTCTACACCAAACTGGCTTTATACCATCTCTAGCTGATCCTTGTTTTAACGCTTTCCCGAAAGTTATCCTCCAAAGAATTGTATTCTTAGCGTCGTTATACAAACTCTATTTATATATATATATATATATATATATATATATATATATATATATATATATATTATATATATATATATATATATATATATTATATATATATATATATATATATATATATAATATACACAGAAAACTGTCCCCAGATGGACAGCTTTATTATACATAGTGTGCACATTATTCAAAACATTTTAAATGTAAGGAACAACTAACAGATAATAGAGTAGACGTTAAAAAAGAAATATTTTATAATGTAATTTGTCAGCTAAAGACAGATTATAATTTATTTATAAAGTCTATAAATGTTATAATAGTAGTAAGACTTAGATCAATATTAAAAGCAAGGTAATGCACTTGTATTTTTTTTAACCTGAAACTCAAGAAACTGTTGCTTTAAATGATGACCCAGAAAGCCTTAAATGCCTGACACTACTTCGTTGACACTCGATTAAACAAAGATAGACAATAAGATGAAAAGAGGAAAAAATGATAGCTCATAAGACGTCTCAGAAATGTGTTACTCTTCTGAGTTTATAAAAACAAACACAACAAGAACGATTAGAAAGGCAACTTAAGTCGTGGATTATGTCTTCGCCCCTATGTAAAGAGATAAAAAAGGCTGCTGAGATATGGATCACAGTTAATCTACATTCAATAAATACGGAGGTACAAGCAAAACACGAAAATCTTGAATAAAAAAGAGAAATGGGCCGAATACCATTGTGTCCCTCCGCAGCAAAAAAGCACTAAAAATTCAAGAAACTCTAACAAGCATATAAGATCATAGAGCAATATTTATCTTGATCAGGCTTAAACAGATGTAATTATCAACAAACCAGAACAAGCAGTAAATGAGACTTCTATTTGTGGAACCGTAGTTTACACTGTTGACAAATTGTTGAAGTATTAAAGATCCCGACGGTCCCGAAGATCCTGGAAGAACGAGGTAGATGACGCCATGAGTAAAAAAGGCCTAAACAATGGATAATGTAACAACAGAGAGGGATGGAAATGGTTGAGCAAGGGAAGGCAGTCAACACTGTATAATTTCTGAATATATATACAAAGTGTGCTAACGAGAGAATATCACGAATGACTCACATATCCCAATATATGCTCCTGTTCATTGCAAGACGTATTAAAGACTTGAAAAGGTATCCTTCACAATACTCAGACACTACGATAGTTACTACGATAGTAACTACAATATTAGAGTCCTGCAGGCTAACCTCCAGAATAGTAATACAATGTGCGCAGAAATTCTATTGCTATGAAAATGTTCGATGAAGCTTTGACACAAGAGCCCTGCGTTTATATTGGCAAAATAAGAGATCTTTCAGGTATCAGAAATATTTTCCGAGATCCTATATAATATTAAAACGACATATTAAAATACTGGTGTTAATAAATCTTAGTTACCTCCCGATCAGACTACCTTTCATATTATTTCTTCCATATCACCGCCACTAAGGGAGTTACAACAGCTAGTAAAAGATATTAGAAAAAAAGCAAAAATATATGGTACCCATTCGCTACCCCTAAATAAGCTGGTACAGGGTTCTCGAATACTGTAGTGAGTATCATGAAGGAATGGAAGATATACAATAAGTCAACTCGTTGCAGTAGGACTGGTACTTCGGATACAAGAAATAGTTTTCATTAAAAAACACTATGGTAGAGAATACTGCAACACACACTTTGCTAATTTATGAGTTAAAATGTGTGGATATCTAGGTATCAACAATAATAAGCAAGTAAAGTAGCACAACGTAATTACGGTATGCTGGTATATATTATATTATATTATATTATAAAAAATGCTGTTTTTCAGTGACATATATACTACCCTGTACAAACATAAATTGCTATTTTTAAATTTTGCGTAATGATGATTATAGTGGGTGGTATTTTAAAATATAAGTAGTTGTTAGTACTGTAAGTAATGGTGTTACTGTTAGTAGTTAATGTTAGTATTAACTTAAAATAACGATTCTTACTAGATATAACATCACGATTATTGTATATTAATTCAATTTGAGCTTTGGCCATATTGTATAGAAAATCTGGAAAATAACTTTGTTCCTTTGTTAAACAGGATTTTACTAATTTTATTGGTTCAACGCTGCATTTCTTAACATTTCTAAGAAAATCTTCTTTTGGGGAGATGTAAAATTTTTCATTTTTTAAACATACTTCCAAATTTGTAAATGATTCCTATAATAAAAAAAATATTTGAGAACTATAAATTAAAAAAAAACTGAAATAAAAATTAATATTTCTTCTTCAGTGCCTTATCCGGTCCGGATGTTGGCGATCATCAAGGCTATCATGGTTTTGTTGACTGCTCTGCGAAACAGCTCCGCTGAGGTCATCCCAAACCATTGTCGAAGATTTTTCAACCACGAGATACGACGGCGTCCCGGTCCTGTTCTGCCAAATACTTTACCCTGCATAACGAGTTGAAGAATTCGATATTTTTCTTCGTTCCCAATCACGTGGCCGAGAATTAATATTTACAAAAAAATAGTGTACTTATGTTTTTAAAAAAGTAAATATATTTTTATACCTTTGAAAACAAAACCAAATATGGGAACAATATTTGGAAAATCTATTTGTTAACCAAATAGAACAAAACTATTTACAAATAAAATGACATAATGAACGTAACTATACTTGTGGAAGATGTTATGCAAACTATTAAATGAGCATATTACTCGAAGCAGATCAGCGAAGAACATCGGAACAGCGAAACACAAAACACCAAAGTAAAGATGCTAACAAAAACTAATCTATACAAAAACCTTGTATCTCACTAAGAGTGCTCTGTTCGTATTCCCTCTTCTTACGTCGATGGATACGTTTTTCCTATCTTCTAAGACGTTTATACTCTTTTTTTTCTCCGTGTACAACCTGCGTTAATGGTTTTATGATATTGTTATGCTGCGTTCTTTCTATTTGTGGCCGTTTGTCTTTCATAATCAAACCAATGATATCTTTTTTCTGACTTGGTTTTGCCCAATATTTCAATGGATTTCTGTAACACAATATCCAGTATATTTGCCCATAGTTAATTAATATCTTCATCTTCTTCTAAGTTTTTTATCTTTATATGGTCTTCTATTTGCTATCTGTATACATTTACAATGTCGAGATCTTTTAGTTTATTATTGTCGATTTTTTTTCTCTCCTTCCGATCTCCTTTTTTTAAATTGAATATTCTTTCTTTAAATCGTGCTTTAACTAGATAATGATCACTATCTATGTTTGCTCCTCTAAAAGACCTAACATCTAATAAGTTGGAGCAGTGTCTTGCATTGATGATTATATGATCTATTTGGTTAATCGTTTCATTATCAGGAGGTTTCCAAGTACCCTTATGTATATCTTTATGGGGAAATCGTGTCCCAGGTATTGCCATGTTATCATTAGAGTCTACGTGTAGATTTTTTCCCGATTGTTGGCGAAAATATATTTTCTCTTATCACTTTGACATTAACGTCTCCTGCTATTATTTTGACGTCATTTTTTGGGTACTTATCGTACTCTCGGTTTATTGCCTCATAGAATATGTCTTTTTCATTATCCTCTTTTTCTTCCATTGGAGCATAGATGCTAATAATACTAATAATAGCAAACTTCCCTTTAAGTCTTATTCGACATATCCTATAATCAATAGTTTTGAAATCAATTATATTATGTTTGACCCTGCTGCTTACAATAAATACGGTACCAAATTCGTGTCGGGTAGGATGTCCACTGAAGTAAATATTGCAGTTAGTTTTTTCTAGGATGCCTAAGCTAATCCAGCTCATTTACTGTAAATCAATTATATCTGCTTTGGCATAATTAATTTCTCGTATGAGCAGATCCGTGGCTCCAGGCTGATAAAGGCTGCTTACGTTTCACTTGCAAATTTTTAAATCATTATCCTTATTTTGTTTGCGGGTTTGTTGTAGGTTAGAAAGTCCGGTTTCTTTTTTTGTACCTTTCATAACAAAAGGTTTTTTACAGGGTTGGGTAGTTAACCCAATGCCAAACCTTCTTTTTGGAGGGCCAATTCACCCGCTTTCGTCAGTCCTCGACCCAACTTTCCACCCGGGTTGGATACCGGATCTCTAGTTCAGTTGCACGGTTTACAGAGAAGACCAAGGTGAAGGTGAGAGTCAGATTTGAGTAAAAGAGACTAATTGGAGTAAGCTGGAATCAACTATATAATTTCGCACTCTTAACGCTAAAGAAAGGAAAAAAGAATTAGAAAAGATCAGATGGTACATCGTCGGAGTTAGTGAAGTGAGAAGGCGAGGTGAAGGCCTCGAGACCCTAAAATCCGGTCACTTGTTTTACTATCACGGAGAACAACATGAGTCGTTAGGAGGCATCGGATTCTTCATAAACAAACAGCTAGCAGAAAATCTAAAAACTGTCCAATCAGTATTCACTAGAGTTACATATGCCACGTTTAAAATAAATAATAGATATAATCTAAAAGTTATCCAAGTCTATGCTCTAACAACAGAATATACAGACGAGGAGATCGAAGTCTTTTATGACGATTTAAGCACAGCCATCACAAACAACTGTACACATTTCACAATTATATGTGGAGACTTTAACGCCAAAATAGGAACAAAACTGGATCCAGTAGAAACTGCTCTTGGAAATTTTGGAAGTCAGGGACGGAACGACCGTGACGACACTCTTTTAAACTTCCTACTAGAGAAAAACCTATTCCTAATAAACAGTTACTACTACAAGAAACCTACAGAAATCCTCAGATGGGAAGACGACAAACGAGATCGATTACTTTATCACTGATAAAAGATACATATTTACAGATGTAACAGTGCTAAATAAATTTGCGAAATCTAGCGACCATCGTATGGTGAAAGCCACCGTTGTGTTAAATAACAACTATGAACGACACAATATGATAAAAAAGAAGCATATAAACATATGGACACATCCAAACAACGAACAAAATTTTGAAGATCATATCGGTAAATTCCTTCAAGAAAAATCATCAACAAATGATACAACATCCTAAATGACATAATAGTAGAAGCAATAACAGAAGCTCAAAAGAAATGCTGCCCAAAAAGCGGGAAGGAAGAAAAAAATTAGTCTGAAAACATAGAAAAAAATGGAACAAAGAAGAATACTGAGAAGCGACGAAAACTCTAGTAACGAAGATATAAATAGAATGAACAAGGAAGTATCAAGAGAAATCAGGAAAGACCTAAAAAAATACAAAGATGAGAAAATCATCAAAATTATTGAGGAAAATAAGACTACGACAATAATGAGACGCAAACTTACAAATGGAAATAAACAAGTAGTCAAACTCAAGGATAGAAATGGCAACATCACATCAAACAGAGAACATTTGTTACAAACTGTGGAATCATTCTATGAGACATTTGATAGCAACCAATCCACTCTACATATAGTTGAATACCAACAAAGGAAGGTTCAAAATAAGGGTTCCCAAGATATCCCAGATGTCTCCTTGGGCGAAATTTACAAGCCTCTAAAAAAGATGAAGAATAACAAAGCTCCGGGGAGGATGGTGTCGTCACGGAAGTGATAAAGATAGGAGGCTCAGTACTGATAGCCAAAATTCAAAAGCTCTTTAATCTATGCCAATAGAATCAAAATATCCCAACAAAGTGGAATAATTTAATAACTGTACTCTTACACAACAAGGAAGATATAGCAGACCTGAAAAGATACAGACCAATCAGTCTCCTTAACCATCTTTATAAATTATACAACCGAATAATAACGAACAGACTAGAGACAAAGCTAGATTTTTACCAACCTTGGGAACAAGCCGGTTTCCGCCCTAATTACGGCAAACGATCACGTACAGTGCCTTAAAACCCTGATAGAAAAAACTAACGAATATAACCGTCCCTTAGCATTGATATTTGTAGTCTTAAAAAGGCGTTTAATACAGTGGAACTACCGTCCATATTAAGAGCACTACAAGATTGCAGGGTCGACCACAGATATTGTAATATAGTTAAAAATATATATAAAAACAACCAACGAAGTTTACATTCTGCAACTAATAAAATTAAGATAAAAGGGGAGTCAGGTAAGGTGATACCATCTCACCAAAGCTGTTCATTACCGTTCTTGCTTACATAGCTTTAGTATGCATACAAAAGACTAACATGGCAACAGAAAGGAATATCCATCGATGGAGAAAGATTAAACCATCTACGTTTAGCGGACGATATCGTGCTTCTGTCAGATAATCTGGGAGAGATCAAAGACATGCTCCAAGAACTGAATGGCATACTACAAGAAACTGGGCTGGAGATAAATTTCGAGAAAACCGAAATGATGACCAATATGGTTCCCAGCGAAGAGATACAGATCAATAACAACAAGGTAGAATTAATCGATAAATACACATACTTGGGTCATGAAATTAGAATAACCAGAGACAACCGTTTCTAAAAAGTACATTCCATGGATACCTTCTTAGGCTCTTACTGATTAGAAATTATTTTAATGGGTCGGTCTTTGCCAAATTTACAAATTTTATCCACGGATAACAAGCATAATAGACTATTTTCAAAATTATTTCAAACAATATGGCATGAAAACCGTAAATAGTTATGCAGTAGTTATTTCAGAAAATCACTTTTTGTTTGCCTTTTCTAATGCTCTCAAATTTAAAGCAAAATGTTTGTGTGAGTCTAAGATATTTATATTTGAAAAATTTATCACCTAGTATCAAAAAATAATATATTTATATTAAACATTTGGTTATAAAGGCAAAGAAGAAAAAGAAACTCAAAACTTTTAAAATTTTGTAAATATCGTCGAGCACCAAACTAAAACTAGCGGACGATACTACTGATATAAGCGAAAAATTAGCAATGAAACAAAATCAACCAATTAACTTTTTAGACGTTAAAATCAACAGACTTAAAAATAAACTTGAATTCTTCGTATTTCATAAACCTACCCATACTGACATGACTATACACAATTCATCATCACATTCCGAAGAATATTAACTGGCAGCCTAATATAGCATGTTACGTTAATTAATAAACAGTAAACAATGGATACAACGAAAAAACAATTAATACAATTTTAAATCAAAAACAACACAAGAAAGCCATGAAATTAGTATTTTCACCACCAGAGAAAAAACTCCGTACTTTCTCCTCGATTACATACAGGCAAAATAAAAACACAAATAGCTAAACACATACAATAATAAAGGAATAACACCAGCTTTTAGACCAAATGACATGTATGTCATTGTACTAAACACAATATATGTACACTTACACGCGAACTGTTTACCTTCCGAGTTTTTTCAAGAAATAGGTCCGTCAAATCTGCGTTTTTTGAAAACTACATATTACCTAAACTCAATAGAAATGAAAATAATAAACGAGCCGCCACTGCTTGGTATGTACATTTCTAAAGAATGAATAACAGATGTCCAAACAAAATTTATATTCAGACACCCAAATCGTAAAAGGAAATCAAATTATACATACATAGAAAACTTTTTGTGATCGCAATTTGTATATAAACCTGCTTCAATGTTATATTTTTTTAGGCAGGTGAGGTTTGAAGACTGAGACACCTGAACAATTAAAATCTAGAAAGGTACTTCCAATAAATTATGAGAGGTGAAAAAGACCCTTAAGGAATACAATCCAGGGCGATATCCGAGTCAGAAGAAGCTGAAGAATACGTAAAATCTCGTATCAATGCTATCTCCGTGAATAGTTTGATTGCAGTTCAGGCGCACAACAAATAAAATTATAATTGCCATAATGATTTTTAGTCTTCAACAAGACTGGAACTTGAACAAGAAGAAAAGAAATATCCAATAGACAACCCAAAACGAAACGCCTACTCCAACGAAAAAATTCTATATTATTTCGTTTTTCTTCTTTTCAACACTCGTGTCAAATTAGCGAATATAATTTCTTCTATTCTTTATATATAAATAAAGTCTTTATACACTAAAGGAGATTCTATATCCTTATAAAGTATTAAATCTAATAAAAATATGTATAAAACTGGTGATTACCCTCAATTGATCTTCAATATAAAAGCCATTTGCAACGCAGTTAGATATTATTTTATCCTTGAGAAGTTCAACAAATTGTAGGCCCATTTCAGCAAAAGCGCTTCTTGTAAATCTTCTTGTTACTAAAAAATAATTTACTGTTTTAAATAATATAATTTTTTTTTAACAAAAAATTATAAAATATTTAAAAAAGTTTAACCTAACAAAATCTGGAAACGATCAAAACGAAACATATCATGTTAAAATTAAATATAATCTAATTTGATTGACTACACCTTAGTTTGAAACTGTTTTAGAATCTGATTAAGATAGAAACACGTAACAAAATAAGTTTATTCTGGGTGTCTGGACATACTGGTGAAAATACTTTAGTCTAGAAATAAGCCACAAACCTAATGTATCCCAAGATAATTTAGTTCAGTCGTAAGATTAAGGTGCATACCATTTACGCTTAGAGCACCCAATCCCTTTAAATTCTTCTTTCTGATAAATTTTGATTTTGGGCTTCTAAAGTCTTATATTAAGCCCTAAATTTAAAGTCCATTTTGAAAATATAGTCAGAGCTTGTTGCATACTACCTATATCTGTACAATTAAATTTTCTGTGGGCTAAGATGACTAGGTCATCCACATACCCCAGAATCCAGAACATAATGTCTGTTGTTGCTAAGCCTAGCTATCAGCCCATCGATGACTACATTTCACAAGAGAGGAGATAAAACTTATATTGCGGACAATATAATCTGGGTACTTGTGGTAATATTGATTTCCCCAGTAACATTGCGTATATTACACTGCTATTCAGCATGCAGCCCCCGAAGCTTATTAGGTGTATTTTTTTAAGACAAATTGACCTTGAAATTGCTTTGTAGGAGGTGTTGTTGACTGCTCTATCAAATGACACAGTATCATTTCTATAGAGACTCCTGCTTAATATGTTTACTGTCGCTGATGTTTAGGACTGTCGAATAATATACCATCACTAATATGCATATAGAGCAGTTTTTCTAGAGTTTTCAATAATTAAAATGTATCATCATCATCAACCTGTAAGCGTCCACTGCTGGAGATAGGTCTCACTCAGATTTTTCCATTTGTCTCTTTTTTGTTGAGTCTTCAGTAAAGTTAAATAACATCAAATTTATTAGCCTCAGGGACTTAGCTATTTCGTGTCCGATCAGGTTTAAATATAAAATCCGACCTTATTATCCTCCATAATTTTGGTGTATACCGCTGTCCTAAGCTAACCTGTATAGAAAGTAATTTCTTGTTTAGATCATTTCCCTTCTATAGAATTACTAGATAAATGCTATCTGAACTTGGTGATTTATAGGCCCAAATAAGTTTATCAGCCAGTCGATGGCCCTGCTCCTGGTTTAGTACTTTCCTAGCCATATGACAGTGTTCCCTAAGATTATAAGTAATGGTATTCAGTCCAGTTTTATGTCATGTGTCTAATGGTATAAAAACTCTGCAAAGTTTTTTCAGGGTCTCTTCATTTTTTCTTCTCACCTGATATTATGATATGATATGATTATCACCAGAAATCCACTCCTCCTTGGCTGTGGTTCCCTTCTGAATTATATTGGTAAAGACTGTACCCAGATTTTAGGGTGATCTTCTTCTCTTCTTGAAGTCTCTTTTGACATAAGCTTACAATATCCCATTTAATAGCCCCTAGTTCCTGTTCTAATTCCTCTATGTGGTCGTTCGTTCTCATGGTTCTAATGTTGTATGTGGCAATTTTAAATTTTTAAGAAATAATTTGATTATTATTGTCATGTATTTTCCATCTTCTGCCTCCCCCAGAATCCGTGAGGCAGTCCATATTGAAATGGGATTCTGAGTTATAAACTCTACCCAATTGGGTACTATATTTTTAAATCTCGATTTATGCATGAATATTTAAAGGGAAATGGAAATTTAAACGCCACGCTTGCCGAGCGGGTTGGCGAGTTTAGGTTTCAGCCGCCTCTAACTTGGAGTCAGACGGTGTTTGCAGCCGTCAATTCTGAATCAGACGCTGCTTGATTCTATAAAAGCCCTAAAATCACGAGATTGCTACTTCCGCCATCCACACCGTACCGAATGATTGCTTCTCCGCCGTAGTCTGCCGTTGTGGTCTTCATCCATAACCCTGGTCAAGGGACCCTAAACAGGTGCTAGTTTCCCGGGTCAGAAAACCCCTAGAGTCTGTGGAGGACAGAGAACGATTCCTTTTCCCTGATAGGACCGCCCGAAGAGTCCTATCTGCTATCCCTTAGTGGATCGACGGGTGTTTATTTGCTAATACCTTATTCACACCGGTCCTATTTGTACATAAGACGTCTCTGATCAGTCATTGTGGATCGGTCGCCGTGTGGGGATTGAGAATATCCCCTTGTATTTGCATATATACATGAATATATACACACATACATGTATATAGGCACATAAAGTCACGAAAAACAAAACTACTTAGATGAACAAAATACTGTATTGAATTGTTTAATTTTTAAAGAAACTAGAGAAACTTAAAACTATCTTATAAACAGAAACCTAACCACCCGCACCCTAAGAAAAATCTATCAAAGCAGATAAAATGGATACATGTGCAGTAATTTTAAAAATGTAATTCTACTAAACACTAAGACTTAAATTAGACTTAAAAATTTCTTGTTTAAATTTTAAGATTTGCTCACCTGGACGACCTTCACCATGAACTCCATACTGATCGTGGGATATTCCTGAAAAGTCAAACAAAATTATAGTTGTTAAACTCCTGAATATTCTTATATGCTAATGTTAGAAGAATACTTCATGCGAATTATTCAGGTCCTATGTAAAATTCCATATAAAAACAAGCGTCAGTAGGACTTTTTTGGAGTGAAAAAGTTTTTGAAGTGAATAAATAAGCATATTTCACAAAAGAGGGCTACTTCATAAAATAAGGAGTCTTTAAAAAGTGAACTACTAGCAGGGACGTTTATATATAATATAACGTTTACTGGTAAACCAAAACAGGATTTTTTTTTATTTTTGACAGTTTTTTTGGAAATATATAATTTTTATGGTTGTAGATGACAGCGATTTATATACCTACAGTATTTCACAAGTAGAAAAACAATTTTATAAATTTATTATTTCCAAAAACATAAATATGTACCTATATCTTTTTGCCAATTGTCACATGAAATTTTTAATATTCAATCGTTCACTAGTTAAAAAATATAAATATTGTGTTGTTGATTGACACATTTTTCTTCATTTGGGTTCATCGTAGTTTAATACGAGGAAATAAAAATCGCAATACTAAGGGGGCAATTGCAACACTATAACTAAACGTTTTTTAGTTTCTTTATCTACAGCATAATTCTTAACACTAGAAGCACCAGAACGGTTATTTTGACCACGTTCTATTTTTGACTCTCTATATTACCTACTCACAGTTATTTCAGAAACTTGATAACTAAGGACTTTTCCTAGATCTATTTGAGGATAATAATTCGTCTTTTACTTGCTAATCCTTATCTAGAAGCACCGGATGTGATCGATTTGGCGGCTTTCTATTTTTGTCATATAATGAATCTGAAGTGGAGTTATGGGATAAAGATGTATCCGATAATGAAGGTGACGAGTATGTGCCTGATACAGTTGTTCAAGGACATTCATCGGGTAGCGATTCTGAAGATGAAGTTAAGATTGAGAACCTGCCCAGTACGTCTGCATCAACTTCAAATGTAGCTTCCAATACCGCTTCAGAAAGGATTACTAACCGAGTAAACGGAATTGATATTTGATAACAGCGTTTTAACACCAGGTTAGCAACTGTATTATATTGGTATGTTCTATTTATTAATGTACTTATAAGTACTTTTTAGATAAAACTATCCACCTTAAATAACTTTCGAACTTTGAATTAAGTTTTAGGAAAAACGCAAAAACATGTCAATTAAAATTTAAAAGGGGAGACATTATATCCTATTTAAGGTTGCTGGCTAATGCACCCTGTCACCTACGTATCACCACTTAATTTTTTTAAATTAGTTTCCCCTTTTTTATTTGATGTTTGAATTATGTTCTTTGTATTGATTTCAGAAATGTATAACACATGATACTTGATTATTAGATCATGATGGTTATTTTATAAGAAAAGTAAATAAGAAAGCAAGAACCTGGCATACAGTACCATAAAATAGTACAACATATTTTGAAATTCTTCTCTGACATTGCTTAACACGTCTGCATTTAATTGTTGACATTCATCATCTTTTTTTTTCGTAATTCATCTAGGGATTCTGGTTCAGTAGAATAAATTTTTTTCCCCCATAAAAAGAAGTCTAGGGGTGTTAAATCTGGTGACCTAGGTAGACAATCCATCATATGTCCTCTTCTACCTATCCAACGACCGGAAAACCTTTCGTTTAAAAATTGTCGCACCGCTAAAGCAAAGTGTGGAGAAGCTCTGTTATGTTGAAATACAACCAAATCTTAGGAAAGGTTATCATCATTAATTTATTACTATTATTTTAATACGATCAACCACTTGCCTGAGTAATTCAATATACAATGCATCATTTGGATTTTCAGTGATGAAGAAGGGTCCGATAGTGTGATAACCTAAGATACCACACCATACGTTTAACCTTTGAGTATGATGTGTGTGAAATTTACGTTCTCTTCAGCCTTAAGTAATCCAACTTTGGACATAGGCCTCCCCCAAATAATTCCAGTGTCTTCTATTTTGAGTCACTTGCTTCCAGTTGTGTCCTTCCGATCTTCTTAATATCATCCGGCCATCTCATTTGTGGCCTTCATCTGCTTCTCTTTCCTAGCCATGGTCTCCATTGTTGTATTTCGTGATTCCATCTCATATCCTTCAGTCGAACATTGTATCCTGCGAAGCTTCATTTTAATTTGGAAGTATGTTCTCCTCCGTCCTTTTATCTTCGTTTTGTTTCCAATCATTTGATTTTTTTTTCTATAAGTCGCACCCCGAGCATTGATCTTTCCATCACTCTTTGTGATTTTACTATTTTATCCATGTTAGACTTGGTGAGTGTCCACGTCTGTGAGCCATAGGTGAGTTAGGGAGGATACATTGATCGTAAATTCTGATTTTTAAATATTGTTCTTGGTTTTTAAATATTGTAAAAACATCGAGGTATTAAACAAATTTAACACCGGCAGTGACCATAGACTAGTTCATGCTGATATACGGATTAACGTAAAGAGAGAAAGACGAAAACTATTAACAACAAACCCTTTACCGACGGCAGACATCCTAGCCAGTAATAAAGAGAAATACCAAGAGGAATTAGCTCGAAAACTAGTAGCACATACCTTTGAGCACAAGAATATAGACGAACTAGCTGAGAAAATAACTAAAGACATACAAACAGTCACTAAGAAACTTTGTTGCGGAATAAGAAAACAAAAGGAAGCTAAACTAAAACCCGAAACTCTAGAACAGATAGAGAAAAAAGGAAGAACGAACAGAGATAACCCGGACTATAAAGCGCTTAACAGAAGCGTTAAGAAAAATATTCGAAAAGACCTTTAGAGTTTATAGAACAAACCAGATTCTTGAAACCATAGAAAACAATAAGAACATGAAAGTACTAAAAACATGTAAATCCACTGACAGGAATAAAATCATAAAGATAAAAGACGACCGTGGAACATTGTGCTCGCATAAGGAAGAGATCGTTAGAGAAATCCGAAAATTTTATGAGAAGCTGTATACTTCTACTATTCCGAACCCCGGTATACCAACAAAACATATCTTAAATGTGGGCTCAGAAAACTTCCCTGAAATAATAACATCAGAAATTAGAGCCGCCCTAAAACAAATGAAAAATGGGAAAACATCAGGAGAAGATAAAATTACTTCAGAGATGCTAAAAATTGGAGGCACTGCATTATAAAAGGCAATAAGAGCATTACTTAATTGCCTATTGGAAGGACAAATACCGAAGACATGGAAAAATGCGGAAGTCATTCTACTCCATAAAAAAGGGGACGCCGCAAATATAGAAAACTACCGGCCAATAAGTTTATTGTCATACCTTTACAAACTACTAACCCGAATAATAACAAATATATTGACAGCTAAACTAGATGCATACCAACCAGTGGAGCAAGCAGGCTTTCGTAAGGGTTTTAGCACTATCGATCACTTGTAAACAATTCGGACCATTATTGAAAAAACAATAGAGTACAACATACCACTACATCTGGCATTTGTCGATTATCACAAAGCATTCGACAGTATCGAGAAATGGGCTTTCTTAGCAGCATTGGACGACGCCAGCGACACCATCTCACCCAAGTTATTTACTTTGGCATTAGAAATGTTTTCAAACAACTAAATTGGGCCGAAAATGGATTAAAAATAGATGGAGTATATCTTAAACATTTGCGTTTTGCAGACGACATAGTACTAATAACCACAGATATTCATGATTAAAATCAATGCTACAAGATTTAAATCACAAATCGAATCAAATAGGATTAAAAATGAATCTCGACAAAACAAAGATATAAGCAACAGCCTAAGAAACATCACGATAGATAACATCAATATAGAAAAGGTAGAACAATATCTAGGACATGCAATTACAAACGAAAAGGAAAATCAAACCCTAGAAATTAAAAGAAGGACACAATTATCATGGGCTGCTTTTGGTAAGTTGAGCTTCATTTTAAAAGACAGAAAAATCCCAATTCACTTATAACGAAAAACCTATGACACTTGTATACTACCAGTTGCAACTTATGGATTGGAAACTATGGCAATAACAAGAAAAATGACAGAACAATTAAGAGTAACTTAACGGGCCATGGAGAGGGCTATGTTAAATATAAGCCTTAGAGACAAAATTCCTAACACCGAAATACGTCGAAGAACTAAAGTAACCGACATCATGGGAAAAATAGCGACATTGAGATGGCAATGAGTAGCACATGTAGCAAGACAAGACACCAACAGATGGTCTCATAAAGTGACATTCTGGAGACCTCGAGAAACAAAAAGAAGCGTGGGAAGATCTAAAAAGAGATGAATAGACGATATAACTGCTTTAGCTGGAAAGCAGTGGATGAGAATTGCAAAAGATAGGGAAGCATGGAAGCAAATGGAGGAGGCCTATGTCCAACATTGGATAATAAAGCTGAAGAAGAAGAAGAAATATTGTTCTATTTTAGTGCTTTTTAAAATCCAACTCAGTTTTCATAATCCTGCCCACGCTAATCTTATTTTTCTGGTAATTTCGGCAGTTTAATTTTCTTTAATAACTTTCGTGTACGTGAAATTCACGTACAATATCTGATTTATGTGTCCAGTATTATGTCTGTTCACCAAACCATTTAATGAGAATAAGTATTCATCCGAGAAGCAAATATTGTTTTACAATTGTGGATTGTTAATGATACATTATGTCATTAATTCGCAAAATTCGAGACGACGATCAAAATCTTGTTCATTTAACTCTTATACTAATTTAACTTTATATGAATGAAACTTAAATTTATGGAGGACTCTGAAGGATGTAGAAGATGAAACACCGATTGCTCTGCTTATTGTTGACATTGATTGTGATTTCTCAGCCTCTAAGTTAACTTGCCCTAAAACAGCTACTTGGATTGCTTCGTTATTTAGTCCTTGTCGGTTATGTTATTTATTGCAAACTGGCCCTGCTGTACTGAATTTCTTTATGAGTTTAATCGCATACTTATGATTTACATG